ATCAAAAACACTTGCTGTGCAAATTAACAATGCAAGATATACCAGAAGAAATGATTAGCTTATGAAAGTGTATCCAATTGAGTACTCATTATGCTAGATGTGATAGAAAATGCAAGAATAAATATGTTATTTAAGGCTCCCTAAGTGTGAAGAACAAAAATGTACCCAAGTGAATATATGACCAGGCAGAATGTGGTAAGTGCTGTTATAAAGTGCATACCAAATAGTAATGGGAAAACAGTAGAGGAAAAGTAGAAGAAACAACAGATGCTGGTGAGGCTGTGGAGAAACAGGAATGCTTTTACACTGTTGATGGGAACATAAACTCTTAGTTCAACCATTGTGGAAGACAGTGTGGTGATTCCTAAAGGATCTAGAACCATAAATACCATTTGACCCATCGATCCCATTACTGGGTATATACCCAAAGGAATACAAATTATTCTATTATAAAGATACATACACGTGTATGTTCACTGCAGCACTATTAATAGCAAAGACATGGAATGCCCACCAATGGTAGACTAAAGAAAATGAGGTAAATATACACCATGGAATACTATGCAGCCATAAACAAAAACAAAAACAAAAACAAAAACTATCATGTCCATTGCAGGGACATGATGGAGTTGGAAGCTATTATCCTCAGCAAACTAACGCAAGAACAGAAAACCAAATACTCCACGTTCTCACTCATAAGTGGGAGCTGAACAATGAGAACACATGGGCACAGGGAAGGCAACCACACACACCAGGACCTGGGACTGTTGGGGGAGGGGCAGGAGGAGAGAAAGCATCAGGATAAATAGCTAATGCATGCAGGGCTTATTACCTAGGTGATGGGTTGACAGGTGCAGCAAACCGCCACGGCACACGTTTACCTATGTAACAAATCTGCACATCCTGCACATGTATCCCAGAACTTAAAATTTATAAAAACATTATACTTTTCAAAAAAAAAATATTCAGGGAACCATGACCTCACCAAATAGACAAAATAATGCATCAGGTGCTACATGAACAGTTGCTCAAAATCACTAATCATCTGGAAAATGGAAATCAAAACTGCAATGGGGGCTGGGCACGGTGACTCAAGCATGTAATCCCAGCACTTTGGGAGGCTGAGGTGGGCGGATCACGAAGTCAGGAGATCGAGACCACCCTGGCCAACATGGTGAAAGCTCATCTCTACTAAATATACAAAAATCAGCTGGGTGTGGTGGCACCTCCCTGTAATGCCATCTACTTGGGAGCCTGAGGTGGGAGAATTGCTTGAACCCGGGAGGCAGAGGTTGCAATGAGCCAAGATCGCGCCACTACACTGCAGCCTGGAGAAAGAGTGAGACTCCGTCTCAAAAAAAAAAAAAAAAAAAAAAAAAAAAAGGCAATGAGACTTCACCTCACTCCAATCAGAGTGCTTACTATCAAAAAAATCAAAAGATAAGTGTTGACAAAGATGTGGAGAAATGGGAACCCTTACACACTGCTGGTGAGAATGCAAATTAGCACAGTCATTATGGAAAACAGTATAGCAGTTCCTCAAAAAATTCTACCATATTATCCAGTAATCCCACTGTTGGATATATATCTAAAGGAAATGGAATCGGTATGTAGAAGAGCTATCTGTATGCTCATGTTCACTGCAGCATTATTCACAATAGCCAAGATATGGAATCAACCTAAGTGTCTATCAACACATGGACTGATAAAGAAAATATGGTGTGTATATACACAATGAAATATCGTTCAGCCATAAAAAAGAATGAAATCCTGTCATTTGTGGCAACATGGATTAACCTGGAGGACACTGTGTTAAGTGAAATAGTCAGGCACAGAAAGACAAATACCACATGATGTCACTTATATGGAGAATCTAAAACATTGTTCTCATAGAAATAGAGAGTAGAATAGTGGTTACCAGAGGATGGGGAGTGGTGGGTGAGGAGATGGTGAGAGATTGTTCAATGGGTAGAAGTTAATCTTTTTAAAAGAGACAAATGAAGAAGCAATAAATAATTTATGTCTGATGGGCAGCAAATGTCACAGTTCTCACAACTAAAGGGTACTAGTTTAAGAGGTTATGGGAAACTGAACAACAGTTTACTTTCATGGCTAGTTTAAAACAAAGGTAAGCAGTAGAACTGTTAAAATGTACATGAGATAGTTTCTTAAAAGGTTCTCATAGCTCCTAGAAAAGTTTCAAAGACAGAACTATAGTCACCAGATCCATAAAAAGGGATTATCTAAGAGACCTTATGAGATATGTAAACAATATCCCTAATATCTTTTTCTATGAGAAGTTTTCCAGATTACCAGGCTAAAAGAGGACATAAGAATAAAACTAAGTTTTAATATGTATTATTACTTAAACACCAGACAGGCCTAAACTTAAAATTCATGGAACATAGAAAATTGAAAATTTGAGCACAATTGGCATATAAGTCCCCATCTATTTCAGCAGTTTTTGCATTTTTAAAATAGATCAGTTTTATTCTGCTAGTTCCATAAAAAACAATGTAAACACAAGCATTCTGTACATCTTGCTAGTGAATTCACATAACGCTTAGTTCCCTAATCCTTTGACCTGCTCAATTTCTCCAGTTATTTTCTGTTGGGACCACTGGCCACAGGAGTGGAGTGAGGTTGGGGCTTAGGAGAGAACAATGTGGCTTTTTGGTATGACTTGTTTTATTGCTTGCCCTTTCAGCACACTCCCATTACTCCTAACCCAAAGTTTGAGATTTAAGCCCTTAAACCTATAGGAATCACCATCAACTTTTTCTTTTTCTGATTGTTTGTTTGTTTTGCATAGGCATAACTAGGTTAGTAATGGGAGACTGGTATAGAAAGTGGTGAGGAGCCCAGGCCAACAAATTGCTTTAAACACAAGATGAAAATGCTGTATTCTATCCAAACAAAGAATCACCTAATACTGGTGTGAGGCAGTCTCACCTAGCTGTGGAGAAGTCCTTGGAACTAGATCTCAGAAAGACATTTCCAGCTTTAAGTCAGTAAACCTTTTGGAAATGGGCTAACTCCCTTAAAGAAAAATAAAAAATAAAAAAAGAGTTCTACTTTAAAGACCTTGCAAGTGGAGACCGGACGCAGTGGTTCACGCCTGTAATCCTAGCACTTTGGAAGCCGAGGTGGGCAGATCACGAGGTCAGGAGATCGAGACCATCCTGGCAAACACAGTGAAACCACATCTCTACTAAAAAAAATACAAAAAATTAGCCGGGCGTGGTGGTGGGTACCTGTAGTCCCAGCTACTCGGGAGGCTGAGGCAGGAGAATAGCATGAATCTGGGAGGCGGAGCTTGCAGTTAGCCGAGATCGCGCCACTGCACTCCAACCTGGGCGACAGAGTGAGACTCTGTCTCAAAAAATATATATATGTAAATATATAATATATAGTAAATATATGTGTATATATAAAAATATATTATAAATAAATAAATGAATAGATAGATAGATAAATAAAAGACCTTGCAAGTGCAGAACTTGTCCGACAAAGGTTCTTGGAAATGTTAACGGAGGGTAACTGACATGGGTAACTGTGGGCCAACCAGGAACTGTCAACAGCCTGATCTCAGCAGACGTTTTTAAAAGGAACACAGGAGAATCATATGCATGGCTTTAAACATTGAAATTGATCCTTGGTAAACTGTATTTTCTGAAGCATAAACTGGATGACTAGAAAATACATATTTAATAAATAATACTAATAGTTCTAATCACATTACATGGGGAAATTTTGCAAATTACAAATAAACCAAATTGCATAGAAATGAATTTTGGAGTTATAAGGAACCAAAGAAAGATTATCACTCAGTTTTCCTGGCTTCTATTCAAGTGTTCCTTCTACTATACTACACGGCATACTTGTACTAAGGTTAAGATCCAAACAGAATCCCTTGTTTGTTTTTCTAATGTTTACAATTTAGTGACAAATCCCCAGTTTATTTATCCTGACAACGATCAGGATGCTGGAGTTACTTTGCAATGTATTCTACAAATTGGCTAGTGTTCTTGAGATAATTAGCACATATTAACTATAAGCAATTACTTTTGTCATAAAATGTGTTCTACTTCAAATTGTAGCTTAAAAGCTTCCGGGACCTAAAAGCCACATGGTGACAAGCGATGAGTTTTCATTTAAAACTTAAAATTTAAAAATTACAAATGTAAGAAATTAGTTTTCAAGCCTTGATTGACTATTTTTTTCCCAAAATAAATAAGGCCGGTTATGCTGAACCTTCACTAACATGACAGCCACTGGCCGTATGTGGCTATTAAGTACTTAAAATGTGGGTAGTCCATATTCACACGGCTATAAGTATAAAATATATAGTACATTTTGAAGACTCAGTATGAATAAATATAGAATACCTAAATTTTTCTATTGATTAGATGTTGAAGTAATAGTATTTTGGATATATTAGATTAAACAACATATATTATTAAATTTAATTTCACTTAAAAAAATTTTAATGTGGCTACTAGAAATTTTTAAAGTATGTATTTGACCTGCATTATATTTCTATTGGACCACTCTAAGCCATCAGGAATGAATATCCAGATGCTACAGATACATAGTCCATTCATTCTCTAAGAAGTTGTTAGCATTATAAAAATTGTCTACATAATCAAGTCAATTTCTGAGTGAAAATAAAATGATATGGAAATACATGGTAAATCTAGAAATAAATTTTAGTTGGCTTTAAATATATCCTGTTTCCAAAATTTATATTTTTAGTTTTGGTTAATACAGGAACTAGTTAATATTCCCTGCACATATGTAAACTGATCAGAAAGGAAGGTGGCCCAGAAACATGGTAAAACCAAAAGTTATCCTTTGTACATTGTTCAATTCACTCATAGATGTGTTAATTAAAAACACATATGATACCATTAGATACTCTGCAAACACACACAAGCTGTAACTTAGGGATTTTAGCAATTTAACATGAGTGCAACAAAACAAAACGTTATAATTTATACCTTTGCTCCACCTGAAATATTGTCCCAGTTTCCACCACTCAAAGAGAACTTTCCATTGCCTATACGCAGCAGTATCTCTTCAGGTGTATCATTGGGGCCATTAGCAAATGGAGTGTAGCTAATAATAAAACAGATTTTAATAGACACTAGAGGGTAACATACCCAAAAAATGAAAGAGATACAAATATTTACTACATGCAAATATTTACTTCAGCAAGTAAGAATATCATCTCACATTTTCTTTCACTGTTAAGGTCAAATTTTATATTTCAAACCATAAATTTAATCTTAATAAAATTTTTAATAAAATGGAGAATATTGCTTACATCAATTCTTTCTTTTGTCATTGATCAGCTAATCAATGTAAAATAAAATAAAGGTGGCTTTTCATGTAAAGCTTCAGTCTCAAAACTAGACAATACTAAAACACACATATTCCAGCATAGGTTAGCAAACAAATATACCTAGTACAAAGAAAATATTAATTTCACATATTCATAATGTATTTATTGTTTTGTTTCAATGTAGTCATTAACATTTCATCATTATCATCAGTGGAAACAGTTATCATTACTTTTTATTAATATCTATGAAAACTTGGTTGGGTAAATATTTATATCGACACAAAACTCCATAGCCATTACATTTATTATGTAGATCAATCATGTAGATTAATTGTATTTGATATGCAAACTTTAGCTACCATTAAATTTACTGTGGTCTAAAACTAAATATTCTGCATAAATTTGTAATACCTAAAAGTATATTAAATGTACTGAGATGTGTAATTATCACCAAGCCATTAAACAATTTAGAGTCACCATTTTTATAACATATTCATAGAGTTCTTGGTATGTCAAGCATATTTAAACTACACTAAATGCACTCTTTAAAATATTATGTCTAAGTACATTATAATTACTTGCTAAACTTGGCCATTTTTTCTATCACAACCCTCATAGAATAATTTCTACAGTCATAAGTTTTCACTTCTAAATAAAAGTGCTACTCATTATTGAGAGTAAAATAGTACTCGTATTATTTGTAAAGTATCAACATTAACATAGTCCAATTGTTATTACATTTGTTGTGAGCTTTTCTTTATGATTTCAAGGGAAGGTAGTTGTGTGTGTTTCTGCAGTTTAGTATTGTTACTATATAGATTTGCACAATCTTACTAAACCTGTAGTGCCAGAATAGTTAGAATTCAAGTGCTTAGAAAAAAATCAACACAGTGTCAACAAGTTCAGGGGGCAAGTTGTTGGTGAAACATGAAATTATTTTATGATTAAGTAAATATTTTCAAGATCAAAATAGAAATGCACTTTATTTTTAAAAGTTTTAGTTCTGGGTGACAATTGCCTTTTAAAATTATTATGTCATAAATTAGTAGTGCCTCATTCTACACCTTGCTTTATGTTTTTTTAATTTTATAAGTAACAATCAATATTGATATTTTGAAACGTAAATGGCATTTTCCTTAAAGTTATTTTAATCTATTCTCTTTCTAGATGAAGATATACAGATGAAATTCAAATAACAACGTTAATGCTTTTGAATATATGTTTCTTACCCAGCCAACATTGTGTAAAAAAGGACTCCTAAACTCCAGATATCACAAGCAGCATCATATCCCTGTTGCATAAGAACCTAAGAAAGAAATACTCATTATATGGTGTTAGTATAAACTCAATTTTCTCCTAAAGAAGTTGTTTTACTTCTAATAATCTCACAAAAGTTCATTATATAAAAACTTCAACCATTTTATACATTTGTAGTAAAGACATAATCCCTGACACCTCAATGAGTTTTCTCTCCTCCTCTTAGGAAACCAGATATAGAGAAATCTAAACTTAAGATTAATATGTACAGTGATTTTAATGTATACTATATAGAGTACTGAGGCTTTTAATTCTGTCACTGATTCTATGAGGTAGATAATATTCTAGTTTTGAAGATGAGGAAACTGAGGTGAATGTTAAGTAACTTACCCAACATTACAAAACTAGTAAGTAGCAGAACACGAAGTCTTACTTAAGCCTGTGTTTTTAATATCTATAACTGCCTCTTTACTACACAAGATATGGCAAGATAATATATGATCTCACAAAAGCAGAATGAATTTATATTTTACCATACAAGGCCAATGTCTTGAAAAGAGCAGTATATTTCTGGACCACAAGTACACATTCGATAAATACTGAATGGCTTCATTATTAATTTTTCATACAACAATTTAGGAAGCTGTTTTTTGGTGCCAGTGTTAATAAAAATCAAACAATATGTTTGTTATGTATTCATGTGAGATTTAGCTACAAAATTATTGAGTTCATTAGAAAAATAAAGAGATGAAATAAGGCCATTTTCTTTTCATTTAGAAAAACAAGCCCACTGCTACAGCCTCTAGGCATAGGAACAAAATAGAAACATTATTAATGCATTAACACTGGGGATTATATAACCACCAGCATGAATTTCTCATCTATAAAAGGCTAAAAATGTTAGTGTTTGGCTTTGACAACTGCCAAACATGAATAAAGAGTATGTAACAAACTTAAAATTTGAAATACGCTTTTTTCTAGTCTTAGTGTATTTATAAAAACACACATATGTGCAAAATTAAGAGGGTAAAGAGGATATAAAAATATAATTGGCTTATATAAATAATACAAGTAGGGAACTATGAAGTACTTAACAAATAACAAGGTATAGCTAAACCACTCACATCATGGTAAATATTAAGTTGGCATACTCTAGTAAAACACAGACTTCTACTGATTTTATTCCCTTATCTGTTTATTTTTCTCATCACATCTTACAGTTCCAGACATCATCATGTTTTCCCTGATTCCCTTAGGAAGCTTTTTAAAGTTTCCCAAGTGATCCAATGCATAGCTAAGGTTGAGAGTCACTGCGTAGAAACCACGTGGACAGGTGAGAGTTAATCAATTCGGCTGTAGGTACCGTATACTCCTATAACCTTCCTAGTTATGAGGACAGTCTTGCGCAGGAGGTGTCATATTGCTTAATTAGGGCCAAACACGAAAAACTTGTTTTAGGTAAAGAAGAAATGGTCCACTTTTTGTCTAGCGCTAGTTTCAATGCCCTTATAAAAGTGAGCATATAATCATAAAAGAAACAAGGCAGAGTGGTAGGATGAATGAAAGAGTACAGAGGGTATGTTTCACACCTTTTTACTTGTATCAAGTTAAATACAAAGATAGAAGTCACAATTAAAGTAGTCAGTGGCATAAGTCTCTCTCTCACTTGGCTTCCCAAGTCAGCAGAAAGTAACATACACAGAGCTCCTCATTCCTGTTGCTCAAATCAATTAACGTTTGGGGCAAACTATTTGACAGCCCAGAGAAAAGAGCAAAGGAGAGTTAACTTCAAAATTAGTTTATAAAAAGCTGCAGACACAGTATCCCTCAACTTTTTTGTAAGCCCCATTAATTCAGGAGCATTCTTTAACCTCAGTAGGCTTATAATATCAGTTGAATAATATAACATAGTGGATTTGCCTTTATCAAAGAATAAAATATTTTAGAGATATATTCACTTTTGGCAACATAGGTATAGTAGAAAAGCACATCTACCTAATAAACCCTAAGATGTTGATCAAACTGATGCATAATCTAAAAACTAAAAGAATATTCTCTCCTTATTAAGCTAAAATTGCAATAATCAGTGTACCTCTTAGCAAACAAAAACTGTTTATGCACTGTGAAATAATGAATGTATACCCCCATAAATGCCATTTTTTACTGAAATGTCGGTACTGACACTTGAATCTTTCTGATTCTAGTTTAAAAAGGAATGCATTTTTATATTTTACCTTTTGAAAGCGTCTGAAATTTTAGAAACAAACTGCACTAAAAGTACTCTCTGTGGTTCATTGATAACAATGTACAAATATATTATTGATTCCTAGCATGGGCTTCATCACTCAAAAATAAAACTTTCAAAGTATTTTGAAAATACAAATACTAGTCAAAGGTAGTTCAAGCACTAGAGAGAAGTGGTCTCCAGATGCCCACCTGAAAACCCTCACTACTACAATGGTAATAGTGTCTTACTACAGTGTACGTCTGTTGGGGAAAAAAAAAAACATCAATGAGCTGTATTCTACTCTCTGGATTTGCTTACCTAACCATTAATCTATAACTGTTTACCTAACCATTAATCTAAACATGGACATATTATATATTTTTCATTTTAATGTCCATTTTTGGTATTTTCATATGGTACATATTCATCTCTAACCTTTTTCCAGTAAGAAGTTGCCATAATACTAAGTAGTTTAGGTCCACAAGATTAAGTCAATATTAAATATTTGGCTATTAAAATGGTTATTCTACACTCTGCTCTTAGGTCTATTGTATAAATCTGTTACAATATTTATGATGACCTTTATGATGACCATATATGCTATACATAACAGAAGAGCACTATCTCAAATATTCTGTCCTCCTATCCTGTAAAATCACTGAAATGTCCTAAAAAGGCTAATATTTTGTATGTTCAGGCTATTATCTCATACACCTTAGGGCAGTACAATATCTTGTAAGAGATAAAAACTTGTATATTATTTTATGAATTTTATTAAAATATAGATTAAATCACATTCTCTGGATATATACATAATTTCTTAGTAGTCAAATCTCTTATCATAAAAAGCTTATAAAACAGATGTTCTGCCTGTTCTTCGATATCAGTACAGTATTTTCTATATTTCTACTTTCATTATGAAAGTCATTTTTATAGTAGCTACTTTAAAATATAGACTGATTTACATTAAAATACAAATAGCTTATTGTTAATATATCTGATGTGCAATATTTCCCTGAAAAAGCTAGCATTTGATATAAAAGTAAAATCATAAAATATATAGAAGAGAGGAATTCTTCTCAAATTAATTTACTCTGCTTCTCCTTTGATTAGACACGTTTGATTTTTTTCAAACCTGAAGAGTTTTAGGTATTTTGATTTTTGTTGAATATGTAATTACATGTCAGTTGGTATTATCCATAACATATAAGAACAGCTATTGACTTAACAAAGAAAGCTTATCTAGAACTTATATGGCCAATGCCATCTGTTGATTCATTTTTCCCCAACTTTACTTTCACTGCTATGGAAACTGCTACTGTCAAAACTCCCATCCCCATAGTTAGAATGAATGTTACAGCTTCCCAAATGTGAAATCTGTACCAGAGCCTCCCCGTTCCTTACTCTTCTCCCTAAGAGCATCGCCTTTCCTGACTCTTCACCCTAAGATTTAGATATAAATATTATTTTCTGAGAAAAATCCACACGGCTTACAAAAACCCCCGTGTGGCTATTTTCTCCGGGAGTTAGAAGATCCTAAAGACAATCGAGGATGGCACTGCCCTTATATGTTATTTATAATGCTAATTGATAAATTACCTAATGTTCAGTACAATTTAACATACCTGATGAATCTATCCTAGTTTTGTTATTAAGTGAATGCTGGGTCTTGAATAAGTCATTGAAGTACCTCGAGCCACAGTTTCCTCATTTAGAATACATAATACCTTGAAGCTGTGGCTATCTTTACCCTACCACCCAACTCTAAAATGGTATGATTCTGAAATTAGTATATAACCCAAGAGAACAGAATAGCCTGATTATTACATTCTGGTTGATTTTAGATGCTAGTTACCAGTGTAAATACTTATATTAGGGGCTATGAGAATTCATGGATTTAAAGAACTTTAAAACTGAAAAGGGCAAGATAATAGCTTTTATCTGCCTACCATAACATACACATGGCATCATATAGATTCAACTAAAGGAAAAGAATGAAAGGCAAATGGTGAAGTTTTTAAAGAATACCTCAGGTGCAACAAAGTTTGCAGTGTAGCATGGAGTTAAGAGAAGTCCATTTTCTCCTCGAAGTTGTTTTGCAAACCCAAAATCACATATCCTGATTGAATCTGCACTGGCTGATTCATCCATGTATAAAATATTACTAGGTTTAAGATCACGATGAACAACCTTGAATATAAAGGAAAAAAGCATTATATCTATATAATTAACTAAATATCTGAGAAATAAAACATTATATCTACATAATTAACTAAATATCTGACAAAAAGAAACTTTCTGAATTACAAAATTTTGAAAATGACATTTTGCTCAAGCTTAATAGCCTAAAATAAACACAGGAAATTATCTCTGTCAGATAGATGTTCCAGTTTCTATTCAAGCCACTAGTTTTGTTAACCATTTCTAATCTCAATATATCTAAGCTCAATTCTCAGATCCACTTTTGGACATGCCATAATTTATATCACTTAGCATTATGCTTAACATATAAGAACAGTTCCTGACTTACAAACTAAACTAAGTTTGGACTTAGTCCATAATGGACTAAGACCCTACTCAACACCCTCCTCCTTGTAGCAAACAACCATAAAACCTGGATATAATACAAAAATCAACTATCTGGAGGCACTGGATAATGAACAGAAGCAGATATACTCTGATGAGGAGTATGCACTTTGTTGAAGGAGGGAACACAGGAACCTATACAAGGACGTTTCCATATCTGTGGCTTTTAGCCTGGGTTTAATTGCAATCCCTATGGTACACAGTGGTGGTAAAGACATGTGGAAAAACCCACAGTCCTTCTGGCTTAGAGGACCAGAAAGGAGATGCTGGAAAACTCTGAATGCTGAGTGGAGAAACATTATAAAGGAAAGAGCCAGAACTGATCCTTGAATCAAAAATGTATGGAACAGGATCAAAATAGTTTGTATAAAGACAAATAATATGAACAAAAACCAGAGCTGCTGGCCCCAAAACTAGTTTTCAGTTCAAGCTCAGCCAAGAAAATTACTCACTTAAACAAATGAAACAATAATAACTATTGGAGAAAAATAACAAAATATGAAAATCTCTATAACTGATTATCATAATGTTTAGGATACAATCCCAAATTATGTAATATACAAAGAACCAAGAAAATGGAACACAGTCTTAAGAAAATCAATGAATTCTGATTCCAAGACGAACCATGCTAAAATAGATAAGGATTTTAAAGTGACTATTATAATGATCTTCAACAAAGAAAACAAAACATACTTTCAATGCATTAAACTCTCAGCAAAAAAAGGGAAGTCTCAGCAGAAAAATAGAAACAATAAAGAAGAAACAAATAAAATGTAGGACTGGTAAAAAAAAAAAAAAATGCTGAAATTCCCCCATGTGATAAGTTTCCTACTAGTACTATCTACTTCATGTAAGTTACCCTTACCTTTAATCAGAGTTTACTATGCTAAAGTTCTTTAAGGGCAAGGACCAAGTCTCACTCATGTTTGAATCCACAACACTTTTTACAATGCCTGGCATGTAGAAATGCTTGATATCAATTAATTTAGTTAATTGATGTAAGAACTGGAAGGTTCATACAATAATAAAGAAGAGATGACTATGATTCTCTTCTAAAAAATTCTCTTCATGCTTTACTTTAGAGAGTGCTGGTAAAGACAAATAATTAAATTATCAAAAAGCTACTGCTTTAGCATCATATATTTCAAAATACTGAAAATATACTTTATTAAACCACACACAAAATTGAGTACTAGTTTATTTTTATTAATTATAAGGGGCTCATGCAGAGTTTTCATTACGTCAATTCTAAATTGCCATTTTTAATTTATTAAGTTGGTACATATCTACTATCACAACTGATTCAAACTTAAATTTTTAAATTACTTCCTACTTTGTTTTTTTATACAGTTATATATATTAAAAGTTGCCTTTTTTGGTAACTCAGTTCATTTGCTTTCTTTATGAAAGGACAGGAAGCAAAATAACAAGCCTGCCCCTTCACCACAAAATTTAATATAGTAATACTTCATATGTTTAGAATACACATTTCTTACTGTAGTTAGGGGAGGAGCTGGCAAGGTTCAAGATACATGTTAGGTAACCTGAACTTTCTTTTTATTTATTTATTTATTTATTTATTTATTTATTTATCTTTAAATATTTTATTATTATACTTTGAGTTCTAGGGTACATGTGCATAACGTGCAGGTTTGTTACATATGTATACTTGTGCCATGTTGCTGTGCTGCAGCCATCAACTCGTCAGCACCCATCAACTCGTCATTTACATCAGGTATAACTCCCAATGCAATCCCTCTCCCCTCCCCCCTCCCCATGATAGGCCCGGTGTGTGATGTTCCCCTTCCCAAGTCCAAGTGATCTCATTGTTCAGTTCCCACCTATGAGTGAGAACATGCAGTGTTTAGTTTTCTGTGTATGATAGTTTGCTCATTAGTGGTTTCCAGCTGCATCCATGTCCCTACAAAGGACACAAACTCATTCTTTTTTATGGCTGCAATCCTTTTTTATGGCTGCATAGTATTCCATGGTGTATATGTGCCACATTTTCTTAATCCAGTCTGTCACTGATGGACATTTGGGTTGATTCCAAGTCTTTGCTATTGTGAATAGTGCCGCAATAAACATACGTGTGCATGTGTCTTTATAGCAGCATGATTTATAATCCTTTGGGTATATACCCAGTAATGGGATGGCTGGGTCATATGGTACCTCTAGTTCTAGATCCTTGAGGAATCGCCATACTGTTTTCCATAATGGTTGAACTAGTTTACAATCCCACCAACAGTGTAAAAGTGTTCCTATTTCTCCACATCCTCTCCAGCACCTGTTGTTTCCTGACTTTTGAATGATCGCCATTCTAACTGGTGTGAGATGGTATCTCATTGTGGTTTTGATTTGCATTTCTCTGATGGCCAGTGATGATGAGCATTTTTTCATGTGTCTGTTGGCTGTATGAATGTCTTCTTTTGAGAAATGTCTGTTCATATCCTTTGCCCACTTTTTGATGGGGTTGTTTGTTTTTTTCTTGTAAATTTGTTGGAGTTCTTTGTAGGTTCTGGATATTAGCCCTTTGTCAGATGAGTAGATTGCAAAAATTTTCTCCCATTCTGTAGGTTGCCTGTTCACTCTGATGGTAGTTTCTTTTGCTGTGCAGAAGCTCTTTAGTTTAATGAGATCCCATTTGTCAATTTTGGCTTTTGCTGCCGTTGCTTTTGGTGTTTTAGACATGAAGTCTTTGCCCATGCCTATGTCCTGAATGGTACTACCTAGAGGAAAACCTAGGATTTTTATGGTATTAGGTCTAACATTTAAGTCTCTAATCCATCTTGAATTAATTTTCGTATAAGGAGTAAGGAAAGGATCCAGTTTCAGCTTTCTACTTATGGCTAGCCAATTTTCCCAGCACCATTTATTAAATAGGGAATCCTTTCCCCATTTCTTGTTTCTCTCAGGTTTGTCAAAGATCAGATGACTGTAGATGTGTGGTATTATTTCTGAGGACTCTGTTCTGTTCCATTGGTCTAGGTAACCTGAACTTTCTATGTTAGGTAACTTGAATAATAGTCACTGTATGTCTTTGGTTAATTCTTTTATGTTTGACTTTTAAGTCTAATTAAGTTTCATAATTTCCAGGTCAAAGTTAGGTACCTTTATGTAATTCAAACCACTTTTTAAATGAATATGCTATTAAATCAGGGTCAATTGGCAGAGAGAAAATAATTATTTCCTAAATCCATAAACTTCACTACATTGTGAGTTCTATTAGGATATTCTCTATAGACATATATGTGAATAAAAGCAATTTATTTTAGGGGGCATCATCTCCTATATTTTTATGAAGATATAGGTCCCAGAATAGAAAGAAAAAAGTTAACTACAACTTACTCCTTGACAATGAAGATAGTCAACTGTCTTACTTATTACATATAGTATATCACTAGCCTCCCGTTCCGAGAAACATTTCTGTTTGAGAATACGGTCAAGTAACTCTCCTCCTTTCATTAAATCCGTAACAAGGTAAACATATCTACCATCATCAAAGACCTACGAAAGAACGCAGTTTTAAAATGTTATTATTTATAATTACAATTCTATAATTCTTAAATTATATTTTAGTTATATTTACCTTTCTACTAAACCTGCCTCTAGTATTAAAAACAAAAAAGACATTATTCCTTTACTGTTAATGCAGTACAGGCTGTATTAAAGGTTGAATCGGCTAAACAATCACCTACACAGTCCCATGAAACCATGTTAAACATATAATTGTATTACCTTTTGAAGTTACAGGTTGCAGTTCATCAAAGAATATAAATTAAAAAAATAGAACTCTGTGCCTCTCAAATAACCTCTATCTCATTTTTTTACTGTATTATAGCTACTTCTCTTCCCCAAACGTAAGCTTCTTTCTGAAAGTAAATGTATTATTTAATTTTATATCCTTCCCTCAGGCCATTATCTGATGTGGTATCTTAAATATTGGTTGAATTCCAATAGTATACCAAAGAAAACAAATAAGAAAAGTATTTATACACTTTTCACTCAGGGCATGTATGATACACACACACACACACACACACACACACACACACACACCCCACACAGTAGTTTAAAGATTACAAATCAAAGTGCATATCATTTTCTGACAGAAAGTGATCAAGGTGATAGTTTTTTCTGTCTTGTATAAAGAGAAAAGAACATTATCTCCTTATGTGAAAAGTGAGCATTCGGTAACATATTAATGAGTTATATATTCATTTTACAAAACTGTAGACTAACACTATTTCACTCCAGAAACAATCCATAATGCTATAGCCAATTACCATACAATCAAGAAAGTAAAATATTCAAGAATTTGGCAGATCCCCAATGTCCTGTATCTTCTATATTGATAGCACTACAGAATAATAAATGGTGTTAGTTACAATGTTAATTAGTTAACCAGCCAGAATATATTCAAGTAATCCAGAAATTCTCATTTACCAATCATCACAGTTATTTTTGATATTCTGTAAGACCAGGAGTATAGAATCATGGGAAAAAAAAAATTAAAGTGGCAATTTAAGAGTCTTGAGATTTTTGAGGCATGAAATTAAATATGCTAAAGACATTAAAAGCTTCAATAAGAAAAATAAAGTTCCAATTCATAACTTCATTAGCTTAGCTGATACCTAGATTTAGAAATACCTACATCCTTCAAAGTAATAATGTTGGGATGTTGTCCATAGCGCATCAGTATTTCAATCTCTTCTGAAGGGTCTCGCTTACTTTTGTCAATGATCTAAGAAATAAGAACAAAAAATATCTGAGGCAAACAAATTATTTTGTCTAAAATTGAATATTTTCAATTTGGTTATATTTTTGAAGAAATGCTTAAAACCTCAAGAACAATGCTTACCTCATATTATTTTAACATTTAAAAACATAAGTTAAAAACTTAACAAAAGAAAAGAACATTTTAACATTATATCCCTTTTCACTGAAACTGTACCAATGATGACGTGATTGTAATTGTCACAATTGCTCAATCTTAACATAATACATGTATAACAAAATTATTCAAATGCAAAAATTCATGAAATATACTGTTCCTACATAATAAAGGCTTGAAAAGAAATTCAAAAATGAAAATATTAAGTCTCAGAGTTCTTTCTCATCATCTTATATTTCCTATCTTCATTTACTCAACTGAAAATGTTTGTCAGTTGACTCATAATTTAAATTACATGCATAAAACAAACAAGAAAGCTAGGCTCAGAGACAATACCTTCACTGCAAATTCCATGTTGGTAGTTGCATGTACACATCGCTTGCAAACAGAATAGGAGCCAACACCAATATCCTCTTTCAATTCATATACTTCACCAAATTGTGCAGCATTTCCATTTATCTGTTTATTTTTAAAAAGTAAAATACTAAGGAGAATGAAATATTTTCACATTTTCTGTCTTTTGTCCTAAATATACATTCATCTTAAATCTTTAACTAGAATAATTCATTCTACAAAAGTTTTATCAACATTTATAAATGGCGTGAACCAATCCTTTCTTGATACCCACAGGCAATATAATAAATCAACTAGCTTATACATCACCTTTCTATTTTATTCAAAAGAGGCTACATAAATATAATTTAAAAGTTACCACTGTCTGCTCTTTTCCAAAACATACAGGGACATATTTAATTCATGATTTATACCAAGAGATAAACAAAGTAGTTAAAAATCACTGAAAAAACCTATTAAAAATACATCAGCAATAACAGAGAAATAATTATCCCAAAACTGAATAATGTGATTAAGTGGAATTTACCTGAACAATTGGTAATACATTTGCACTTGTGATAGGAGTGATTTTATATTCTTCTGCAATAGAAGTTGCAACAAAGCTGAATCCTTTGAAGAGCTGATGAGCGTTTGCACTGGCTGGCAAACCAGGAGAATCTAATGTCCAAATAATTACATTTAATTATAACTGCACACAGAATTCTATGATATAAAGTGTCAGAATTTCTTTAACTATAAAGGAAACCATTCAATGCTGGTATCTAACATATTACATATTTGATTTATTATATATTATCTGTCTTCTCCCATCTGTATACATGCTCCATTTTAGTCAGTAATTTTTGTCTGTTCTTTTCATTGCTGCATACTCATTGCTTAGTACATGGTAGGTATTCAATATTTCTTGAATGTATATATGAAACTGTAAAAGACCGAGTAAAATATCTGATGTCTTACCTCCTACCCCATCCTGTAAATCATTAGCATACCAAAGGACTTATAATGCAAAGAAAGAAAGAAACTTGCCACCCTTTGACCAAGTTCCTGCCTTCCTAATAAATATTTCCCATTTAAAACATCTACTTGACAGCTGCCCAAGCAACGTTTTGTATAGGATCCATATTTCCCATGGACAAACCAACTCTCTGCAAATTTATCATTCTTTTAGTTTTTACTTCAGAAGACAGTTTAATTTTAAACTATCTACTTAAATAAAATCTCTGATTTTACAGATAAACATGCATTACCTTTAGGTGTTTTTGCAGTAAATTCAGGATCAAAACAAAAAGTATCATCTGGTTTTCCAGACGCAGGTTTGAAAGGAGGTTGAACTTCTCTTTTATATAATTTCTAGAAGGGGTAACCAGATAACACAAAACATATTAAGACTTTAAAAATTATTATACTTTGTAAAATAAAGCAGAACATAATATTCACAGTACATAATAGAAGACTAACGATTTCATAAAATAAATTTCAACAGGTTTCAGATACCTGTTAACCAAATTCTAAAATTTTGAGAGCTAATGTTCAAAATGTAATGAGGCCAAGAAACATAGCAATGATGCCACAAGCTGAATTCACAAGGAATGCTCAATTTTGGATATCAGAAGTTTTTGAATGCTCATTGATAATATAGCCATGCAAATACAGCACAATAAAATGCTCAAGGCTTTCAAAATCAATAGATTATTTTTAAGAAGTACATATTTCATCTAAAATATTGTTTTCACATAAAAACATACATTAAATGTACTGTTTAGGCTTGTATCAGATAATTGAAAAGTTTATTCTTGTTTAACAATCTACCTTGCTAAAATCTACGCTTTTGAAAGGCATAGAAGGTTTCTAATAATACATAAAAAGCCACTTTTTTTGAAATCTATTTTTTAAAAAGCTTACAGTCTCACAGTGGGGAAAAATAAATAGGGAATTACTTTTGAGTAATTTTCATTTATTTCTGGTTCAATATGGCTTACTAGAAACGGCTAGTGGGTGCCTCTCTCATGATGAGTAATCAAAATAGCAAGTAAATATTGACACTTCAAGTATGTTTTCTAAGAGGCCACACTGGAATTCATCAGAGAAGCGATGGAATTGGGAATCACAGAAAGAAGAGAACAAAGCCATGCCATCAGGTGAACTGAGACTGGTGTGGAGCCAGGAGATCTTTGATGCAGGGAAGGGAAGATTGAGTGAGAGACCTCCAGGATTCCACAATTCAAGATTCTGTCACAGACTTTCAATGCTAACTATAGTTAAGCCCCCTTGAATTCCCTAGGCCTCCAGTTTAATACATGGAGCTGCCTGGAATCTGTGCAAAGGTACTGCTCAAGCCCATGTGGAATCCCATGAACTTTTGATCCCTGAGCAGCTTGGCACCGTCTGCTGCCACCCCACTAGGCAGGGAGCAGGTAGGTCGGCACTTGTGCACACCTCAAAGACAGATACTGCAGCTGCAGTACAGAAGAGTGAGCAGAATGCACGCTGCAAAGACTGCTGACCTCAGCTGTTCCCTTCTAAATGAGGCCTCCCTTCTTCAGTGTTGGGTCTACAGCACAGCTGCCCTGCCCCTACGTGTATATACTGGCCACAGCCTGGCGTTCTTCTTAGAGCCCAGCTCCCAGAGGCGGGTGACCCACTCTTAAGCTCCCTCAATAGTTGTGCCCGACACCACCATCACACTTGGCACTCCTGGGCCAAGGAGACAGTGGGGAAACTGGGCACCTCTGTGTGCCCCCCAAAGTGAAATCCACTGCCGCTCCATCAGGAGGGAAGTGCAGGTGGGCCAAGCACCCCATAGCTGCCAACCTTCATTGCTTCAGCTGAAGGGGTCTGCCTTCCCCAGTGAAAGGCCAGCAGCCCTGCTCCCAACTGACTATTTCACTTGTTACCTGGAGGCCTTCTGAGAGCCTAGCCCCCATAGGCCTGTGACAGGCCTTGGGACTTCAACCACATAAGCATTCTACAGGCTGTTCTGAGAGCCCAGACCCCAAAGCATGTGATCAGCCATGGGAATCCCACCACCAGAGCATTCTGCCATAATCTGAGAATCCTGTGGGCCCTTTTAAGAGACCAGCTCCCACAGGCCTGTGATCAGCCATAGGGACCCAATCACCTGAGTGTTTTGCTATATTCTGAGCATTCTGTGGGCGCTTCTGAGAGCCCAGTCACCACAGGTCTGCAATACGCATTGATGCGCCAACTGCCTGAGCATTCTGCAACTGCCTAAGCGTTTTGTAGGCCCTTCTGAGATCCCAGCCCCCACAGGCACATGATGTACTCTAGGACTCCCACTTCCAGAGTACTCTCCCTGCCTCTGCTTGAGAGTTCTGCCTGTGACTCCGAGAACCAGCCCATCACTCCCTATCATAGCCAGCAGCAGGATTCTAGAGACTTAACAAGTCCACTGTCCTGGTCCTGGTCCACTTCTTACAGGACTCATACATGCTGTCCGTTGGGCAATCCGGGGGATAACGAATTGGAAGTTTGCCTAGTCCTATCCACCACTGCTAGTACATGACCATGCCCCAACCTGAGGTCTAAGCTCAGATGGACCCAACCAGATGATACTCCCACAGCTAATACCCCACTGTGTGTGCTAGAAAGTGGAGCCCCTCTGTGATATCTACAGAAAGCAGCAGCATTACCCACTGGCAAACAGGTGAGTCACAAAGCTGTGTGTATTGGACTGATTCAAGAGGTTCCACCCAGAAACCACTCCCATAGACTACTGCAAGACAAGTGTCTTCTGTGGCTATCAGCTATACTGTGGTCTAGAGATACACGGCAGTTGTGCATCTGAACTGAGAGCCATGAACTCTGACAGGTAAATAGAACATATTGCTACCCGTCTAGGATGTGAAGCTAGTCCCCCTACTCTCTGCTGAGACCTTGGCACTGTTTACCAGGTACTCTTCCAACCATGCCTGTCAGGGCTGGTTCCCCAGTTCATCATTGGGGTATTTGTGTGCAAGCCAGGCAGTCAAGCTCTGCCTAGCTCTCTTTCCCCTCACCCCTCATGGGACAAGAAGATCAAGGAACCTGGCATTCCACTGTCCAGCCCATCATCTGAAACAACAGAGATCACCACACAATAAACAAATATCAACTGCATACTGATCTGCTTTTGCCACAGCTGGCTTGTACTGGTAAATGCCACCTACTGCCCTATAGATTGAACTGTAAAACCCAATGTAAAAACCTGATAAGAAGTGCACGGGCCTACAGAAACAAAGCCAAGAGACTTTTGGCTACTTCCCAACCTACTCTACAGTCACATCCCCCAAGAGGGATGGCAGCAGGGGGTGAACCACATCTAAATGAAACAAATTCAAAAGCAATATGTGACAGCTTCTACAGATAAGAAGGAACTAACATAAGAACTTCAGGACTATGAAGAAAAAGAATGTAATGACATCCCCAAAGGATCACAGTAGCTACCTAGCAATGAATCTTAATCAAATGAAAACTCTGAAATGACAGATAAAACATTCAAAATATGGATTGTAAGGAAGTTCAATGAAATCCAAAAGAAAGTCAAAAACATACAAACAAACAAAAAAATCAGAAAACAATTCAGGAGATAAAAGATAAATATATATATATATTTTAAAATTCTGGAAGTGAAAAAAAAGATGAAAGGAATTTCAAAACAGAGTTGAAAACTTTAATAACATACTAGACCACGCATAAGAAATAATTTTGAGCATGAGGCCTGGTCTTTTGAATTAAATCAGATAAAATTAAATAACAAATAATTTTTTAAAAAATGAACAAAGTCTTTGAGAAATATGGGATAATGTAAAGTGACCAAACTTACAACTTATAGACAGAAAGAAAAAAAGAAAAGAAGCTTGGAAAGCATAATTGAGGAACTAATTCAGGAAAATATCCCCAATCTTGTTAGAGATGCAGATACCTAGATATAAGCAATTCAGAGAACACCTAGGAGACACTATAGAATACAAACGTGACCTAGGGATATAGTCGCCAGACTATCCAAGTTCAATGTGAAAGAATAAATCATAAAAGAAGCTAGAGAAAAGCATCAAATCACGAATAAAGGAAACCTCATCAGACTGACAGTGAACCTCTCAGCAGAAATTTTAACAAGCCAGGAGAATGGGGACCTAATTTTAGCTTCCTTTAAAAAATGGCATCCAAGAATTTTATATCCAGCCAAAATCAGCTTCATAAAATGAAGACATAAAGTCATGAACAGAAAACACTAGAGGAACTTATCACCATTAAATAGACCCCATAAGAAATGCTCAAAGAAGTTCTAAAAATGAAAACAAAAGTATGTCACTCACCATCATAAAGGCACACATAAGTAGAAAGCTCAAAGATCCTATAAAACAATCATACAATTGAGAATCCAAGGCAACTAGCTAGCAACATTATGACAGGATTAAAACTTCATATATCAATATAACCTTCAACATAAATGGCATAAATGTCCCATCCACAATATGTAGACCAGCAAGTTGGGTAACAGACAAAAACCAACCATTTGCTGCCAAAAAGAGACCCATAGAATAGTAAGCACATCTACAGACTTAAAGTAAATAGGAGGAAAAACATATAGCATGCAAATAAAAAACACAGCAGAGCTGAAGTAGTCATTCTCATATCAGATAAAACAGACTTTAAACCAGCAACAGTAACAAAAGGCAAAGAAAGGCATTATATAATGAAATGATAAGGGCTCAATTAAACCAAAAGATTTAATTATCCTAAATATATATGCATCCAACACCAGAGTGCTCAGATTCAAAAACAAATACTACTAGACCTAAGAAAAGAGATTGATGGCAATACAATAATAGTGTGGGACTTCAATACCAAATGACAATACTAGACAGGTCATCAAGGCAAATGTCAACAAAGAAACTCTGGACTTAAACTGGACACTAGACCAAATGGACTTTTACAGAATATTATAATCAACAACTACAGCATATACATTTTTCTCTTCTGCACATGTAACACTCTCCAAAATTGAACATATGCTTAACCATAAAGCAAATTTCAATAAATTCAAGAAAATCAAAATCACATCAAGTATCCCATTGGACCACAGTAGAATAAAATTAGAAATGAATACCAAGGGGAACTCTCAAAGCTACACAAGTACATGGAAATGAAACAAGTTGCTCATGAATGACTTTTGGGTGAACAACAAAATCAAGGCAGGAATAAAAAAAACTGCAATGAATGAAAACAGAGACACAACATAGCAAAACGTCGGAGATACAGTCAATGCAGTGCCAAGAGGAAAGTTTCTGGTGTTAAATGTCTAAATCAAAAACACAGAAAGATCTCAAATCAATGACCTATTGTTACACTACATGAAACTAGAATAACAAGAAAAACCAGACCCGAAGCTAGCAGAAAACAAAAAATAACTCTCATTTAGCTGAACTAAATGAGATTGCGATCAAAAAAAGACATAAAGGATCAACAAAATGAGAAGCTGGTTCTTTGAAATAATAAAGTTGATAGACCACTAGATGGTTTAACTAAGAATAAAAAACAGAAGACTGTAACAAGTACAATCAGAAATTGAAAAGGGCACACATTGCAATGGATACCACAGAAATATATATAAGATGATCAGTGATAACTATGAACATGTATACACATACAAACTAGAAAAGCTAGATGATGGATAAATTCCTGGAAACATACAGTCTCCCAAGACTGAACCAGGATGAAACAGAAAACACAAACAGACCAAAGGAATAGTGAAACTGAGCCAGCAATAAAAAATGTTCCATCAAAAAAAGCTAGGATCACATAAGTCTATAAACAAGTTTTTCCAGACATGCAAAGAAGAGCTGGTGCCAATCTTACTAAAACTGTTCCCAAAAATTGAGGAGTTGGGAATCCTTCCTAATTAATTATACAAAACCAGTATCATCCTGAGAGCAAAATCAGGTAAGGACACAACCAAAAAAGAAAACTGCCAGCCAATATTCCAGATGAACATAGATGCAAAAATCCTCAACGAAATACTAGCAAACCAAATCCAACAGCACATGCAAAAAAATAGTTAATCATGATCAAGTGGATCTTATTCTAGGGATAAAAAGATGGATCGACATTTACTAATCAATAAATGCAAATCACCACATCAAATTATAAACACAAATCATGTGATCATCTCAATAGATGCAGAAAAAGCATTAGAGACAATTCAACATCACTTGATGATAAAAACCCTCCATATAACAGGCATAGAAAGAACATACTCCAACATCATACCAAATGTTGAAAGCATTCCCTTCAGGAACTGAAACAGGTCAAGGATGTCCACTTTTACCACTCCTAGTCAACATAGTACTGGAAAGTCCTAGCCAGAGCAATCAAGCAAGAGAAAGAAACGAAAGACATCCAAATTGGAAAAGAGGAAGTCAAAGGACCTCTGTTCATTTATGATATAATATGATACTGAGAAAAACCAAAAGACTCCTCCAACAGACTCCTAGACTTGATAAACAAATTCAGTAATGTTTCAAAAAATAAAATCAACATACAAAAATCAGTAGCTTTTCTATACAACAATGATGTTCTAACTGAAAACCAAATGAAGTTTCTCATTAACAATTTCATTAACAACAGCCGCAAAAAGTAAAATACCTACAAATACAATTAACCAAGAATGTGAAAGAGTTCTACAAGGAGAACTATAAAACACAGATGAAAGAAACTAGATCAAATGGACGAATGGAGAAATATCTCATGCTCATGAATTGGAAGAATCAATATCATTAAAATGACCATACCAGTCCGGGCACAGTGGTTCACGCCTATAATCCCAGTACTTTGGGAGGCTGAGGCAGGAGACTCACTTGAACCCAGAAATTCCAGACCATCCTAGTTAACACAGCGAGACCTCATCTTTACCAAAAAAATTTACATTAGCCAGGCATGGTGGCATACACCTGTATCCCCAGCTACTCAGGAGGCTGAAGTGGGAGGATTGCTTAAGCCTAGGAGGTCAAAGCTGCAGTGAGCAGTGATTGTGCCACTGCATACAAGATAGAAAAAAAAAAAAAAAAAAAAAAAAAAAAAAAAAAAAAAAAACATACTGACCAAAGCAATATCCACATTCAGTACAATTCCTATCAAACTATGACCATCAGTCATCCTTCAGAGAATTAGAAATAACAATCCTAATGTTTACATGGAATCAAAAAAATAGCCTGAATAGCCAAAGCAACCTTAAGTAAAATTAACAAATCCAGAGGCATCACATTTCCTAATTTCAAATTATACTACAAGGCTATAGGAACTTAAACAGCACAGTACTTGTACAAAAATAGACACATAGATCAATGGAACAAAACAGAGATCCCAGAAATAAAGCTGCATACCTATAGCCATCTGATTTTCTACAAAATCAACAACAATAAACAATGAGGAGAGAACACTCTATTCAATAAATGGTGTTGGGAAAATTGCCTAGCCACATGAAGAAGAATAAAACTGGACCCCTATCTCTCACTATTCACAATAATTAACTCAAGATGGTTTGAAGACTTAAACATAAGATGTGAAACTACAAAGGTACTAGAAGAAAACCTAGGCAAAACTCTTCTGGACATTATCTATACAAAGAATTTATGACTAAGATCCCAAAAGCAAATGCAACAAAAACAAAAGTAGACAAATTGGACTTAATTAATTTCCTGCACAGCCAAAGAAATAATCAGTAGAGTAAAAAGATGACCTACAGAATGGGATAAAATATTTGCAAACTATGTCTCTGACAAAAGACTAATATCCAGAATCTACAAGGAACTCAAACAACTCAACAGGTAAACAAACAAACAGACCTATTAAAAGGTGGGCAAAGGATATGAACACACATTTTACAAAAGAAGACATAAAGCAGCCAACAAACATGGAAAAATGTTCAATATTACTAATCATCAGAAAAATGCAAATTAAAACAACAATGAAATATGATTTTATATCAGCCAGGAGGGCTATTATTAAAAAGTTAGAAAATAAAAGATGTTGGCATGGATGTGGGAAAAAAATGGGTACACTTATACACTGTTGATGGGAATGTAAATTAGTACAACCTCTATGAAAAATCATATGAAAATTTCTCAAAGGTATAATAATCAAAAAAATTTGACCCAGCAATCCCACTAACAGGAATGTACCCAAAGGAAAATCAATCATTATATAAAAAGGACACCTGCACTTGTATGTCTATCACAGCACTGTTCACAATAGCAAAGTCATGGAATCAATCTAAGTGTCCATCAATGGTTAATTCGATAAAGAGAATATGGTATATAGACACCATGGAATACTACACATCTGTAAGAAAGAACAAAATCATTATCTTTGCAGCAACACGGATGGAGGTGGAGATCATTATCCTATGTGAAATAACTCAGAAAATCAAATATCCCATGTTCTCACTTATAAGTGGGAGCTACACAATGGAAACACATGGACATACAGATGGAAATAACAGACACCAAGGACTCCAAAAGGGAGAAGTTAAAAGGGGGTTTAGGGTTGAAAAATTACCTAATGGTCCCTGTTTTGTTGATGGATACATTAGAAATCCAAACCTACCATTATGCAATATCCATGTAAAAAACCCACAAATGCACCCCCAGATCTAAATTATTTTTAAGAAAAAGAAAAATAAATACATATGTAAACATTCCACTGATTTGTTATTTAAATTAAAAGCAATAAACCTTTACTCTCCTGTGTTGGTCATATGAAGTTATTCAATAACAAGCTTTCTACTTAACTTACATCCCAGTCAATATTTGCAAAAAACAGATGTCTTTTGATTTCTTCAACTCCTTCTGATCCTATAAAAAAAAGAAATGATATTTTAATTTTATGATTTTTAAAAAATCTTGCTCCCTGGCTTCCAGACTGCTATCTGTAAACAGGAACACACATATTTCATACATTCCTTGAAAAGAAAATTATATGATTTCTTATCTGGCATTTTATTAGCTGGTCCTTTCATTTCATTGTGATAAAAAATAACTAATGTTCATATTGAACTACAAAGAGTATCATGAAATATTAAACTGTCTCTCAAAACAAAATAGTATTAAACATAATACTTAAACTTAAATACATATTTTTTCACTCACAATTTATTTTATGACCTTATATTTATATGCCAAATTAAAAGGTACAAAGGAGGCCAGGCGCGGTGGCTCAAGCCTGTAATCCCAGCACTTTGGGAGGCCGAGATAGGTGGATCACGAGGTCAGGAGATCGAGACCATCCTGGCTAACACGGTGAAACCCCGTCTCTACTAAAAAATACAAAAAAAACTAGCCGGGCGAGGTGGCGGGTGCCTGTAGGCCCAGCTACTCGGGAGGCTGAGGCAGGAGAATGGCGTGAACCCGGGAGGTGGAGCTTGCAGTGAGCTGAGATCTGGTCACTGCACTCCAGCCTGGGCGACAGAGCAAGACTCCGTCTCAAAAAAAAAAAAAAAAAAAAAAAGGTACAAAGGAATAAACGGACACTGAAATTTTCACACGAGGGCATAAATAATAGGATCGCATCTGGATACAGGAAAAGGCTACTAGAAAGGGGTCAAAAACAGTAGTTACAGAAACATAATGTTTACTTCGAAGAATATTGGGAGGGGCAAAATATCTATCTTCAAATATATAAAAGATTACCTGTATAAGGGAGAATCTGTGTATTATTTCAAAAGAAGTAACCCATAATATATACCTAATAATAGGTTGAACAGAAGCTTTCATTAACTAGACTACTTCAGTTTTAAATCATGGACATAACAGAGTTTACTTCATCTGAAATGCATACACAAAATGAAGAATTCTATGTATAGAAGTAATGCGCTCAAATCAAACAAGAAAACATAAAGATTTAATTATCCTCCCAAAACATGCAGTTACTTCTACAAAAGCTAAGAAAATAAGCAATACCCAATCTATTTGCTGGATTCCTTTTGAATAACATCCTTAGAAGACTTTGTGCTTCAGCACTAAGAAATTGAGGCATTCCAAGTTTTGCTCTGAAACAGAGGATTTTAGAAAGTTTCACTTCAATTTAGCCACACATTTGATTTGAAAAATCTCAAAAAGAATTTTTAAAAGTGCTTTTACAAGGGTAAATAAAGTCCTGTATATGGTAGAAGGGAACAAGACAGTGAGAAAAATGTTCTCTTGTGTTATTTTAAAACTGCAATAATTTTCTCAAAACTGAAAGCAAGAGATTTTTTTTCCCAAAAGAAAAACATACTGTTTACACTTACTTTAATATCATATTCATGGTCTCATTTCTGTCTTTACCTTGAAATGGCAGAGTACCAGTAAGCATTTCAAACTAAAACAAACAAACAAAACATCACCACACAATTAGAACACCTTAGAATATATAGTAAGATTCTTTAGAAAAAAATTGAGACTTCTACTATATAATCATCAAACTGTAAGGTCTACATGATAGTAGATCAAAATGGGACCAGAAAATTTGGTTACTTAAAGAAATATACTTCTGGTATCCCACTCTCTCTCTCTCTATATATATAGCTCAACTGATGGTGACCTGTAGCAGATGAAACCAACCAATTCTTCCTAAGTTCTAATTTGGCTATGTTCTCAAAGCCAAAGCAATTTGAAAATACACACAATGCATTTTCTGTTAAAACAAAGATATTCTTTTGAAGCAAATGTTTAATAATAAAGGAAAAGGAAAAATAAGCAGAAAAGCATTTCGAATTCATACACGCCCAACAAAGATTTAACCATTCTCATTCCCTCCACGGCCCCCAAAACAGGACCCAAAAAAGAGGTAGAAGCAGCAGAACACACCAGCACCACTCCCCCACCCCCCGACACGCATGCCAATAGCTTTAAAAAACAAACATACACCTTAGTTGTACACAGAAGGAAAACATTTTCTCATAGAGAACTGACTGCAATGTGACTAACTAGAACATTAAATAATGGTATAAACAGACTACCTCTAAAAATCATTATAGTACATTAAAGAGAAGTTTTTGTATCTCCAGTATTTAAATCTCAAACTTAGATTCAATAATGGCTTTGTCCTTTAGTCTTCTACTCATTTATCTGAACTCACAATCTAAGTGAGCTTATACGTTCAAGTCTTCCCTGTATCTTAATGTCTTACAAAATCTGCTGTTCAAGCCTTAATCTTTCTCAAACTCCAGCTTTCCTTCCCAAATCTTAAGTAATGGTACACCACCAAAGACTGGAGGAGTAGAGGTGACAACTTCAGGGAGAGAATGAAGGATCATATACAGGACTCACATCTTCCCTCAAAGAAACTATAGGTTGGGTAGTTAATATATACATATTAAGGTCTCCGAATGATTCTGATTCTCTCTCCACTACCCCTTCTAGTTTATCACCACCCAGTGGTGAGTCATTAACCAACAGTAACCTATGCTACATGTTAGAAATTATTTTTTCCCACTTCCAAAATCAGCTGTCCTCCTCAGCTATCTCTTCTATTAACTTACCATTCTTTCATCCCCCTAAAACTCACAAATTTTATAGGCATTTTTATCTTTGACAATTCATCTCTTTTTCACCTGTGTCATCTAATTTGCTACCAAGGTTAGTAACAGATTACTTTGAAATCTCTATAATCTTACAATTGTCTTTTAAGATCTCTTTTGTCTTCCTATTTCTAGTTTCTTCCAATACGATCCACTTACATAATGCTGTCAAGGCTAATCTTCCTAAAATACAATCTTCTCTAATTTCCATCCTGTTTAAGAATCTAAAAGTTTCCTCCTACCCAAAGAATCATATGTAAATGCTTATAGGTTTATAGCTTCACTTCTTCCACCTTTGCCCTCTTTCTCCACTTCTCTAGTCAAACTGGTTCTCCAAGTCTTTGCTAATATGATCACAATACTCTCCTTCTTGACACACAACTATTTAAATTTTATCCATCCTTCAGGGCTTAATTTAAGTTTCAAATCTTCCAGTTTGCCTACATCAGCTTACATTAAATCTTCCCTGAACTCCTAAGGTACTTCTTGAGAGTTTATTTAGCTACTCCAATTGAAAAAGACCAAATGTTGTACTTAGAATCAGTCTTTACCCCACAGGCCTCCCAATATGTCAGGCTTATAATAGGCACTTAACATGCTGATGTGTCATTTGGTATGCTACTCCATGATAAATGGACAAAATGGATCAGCCCTCAAAAGCAAATTATATCTAATTCAACAGCTATTTATCTATCATCCTACTGACTACTGCAAATTCTATGCTTAATCTCATATCAATGGTCATTAAGCATCTACTGTATTAAGCATCTACTGAAATGCTCACTATGCTTGGTACTATGGGAGATGAAAAGTAGTATAAGACATGATTCCTCTGTTCAACAGGTTTATAACCTTTCCAGGGAATGCACGGAACAATCTGACAATAGGACACTATATGGTAAGGTGCTAAGTTCTGTAACATTCAATTAAAATACCATGTAACTGATAAACTCATCATTCTGAAATATAGAATCTGACAGACCTTTTCATAAGTATCAAATACAAATAGTTTATAATAACAATGCTGCCATTTACCTTTTTACTAGCAACTTTAAAATAAATCAGAACACCAAAACCTTAATTTTTATTGTATAACAGCTAGCCAATCACAAGGTTTTTGGTGTTAATTATAAATTATCAGAACCCCTTTCTGACCTGCTAAGTCCCAAAATTTGAAATAAAATTATTTTTATATTTTGAAATAAAATAATTTATATATCAATCACAGGTTGGTATAATTAAAACAAATACTGCTACTTACCATAAGAACACCATATGACCACCAATCAGCACTCTGGGAATGGCCTCTCCTATTTACTACTTCAGGAGCCATATACTCTACTGTACCACAAAATGAGTAAGCCTTCTTTTCTTGATCTACTGACTCCTTGCTGAGTCCAAAATCTATAATAACAGTATTACCAAAAAATGTGTCTGAAAAACTTCAGAAAACAGAAAACATCAAAAGAAACAAAATAACGTATTAAACATTACAATTATTTATGGATGGCCTACAATTATTCTTAAGAAAGTTCCTGTGAGATCAATAAGAGAAAGTAGCTTGTATTTCATAACAATACTCTTTAAGGTCATTTAAAGATCCTTCCATTAAATCTCATCCTCAAAATACATGCTTTCAGGTCTGCACTAGAATACAATGCAAAAAATGTGAGGGAACAACAATTAAATCAAAGCTGCCATATTGATCTAAGTTTTAAAATAGACTAAGACAAAACAGAAATAGTAATTTATACTTTTTAAAATGTTAAAAAAACAAATTTTGCTTTGGCTTTGGTGAGTTTCCATTTTTGTTCAAAGCCTTCAAAGAGCTAAAGATATCAATATATAAAAATCAATCTTATTTCCTGGTATTACTAATGAACAACTGGAAGACAAAATTTTAAAAATACCATTTATAATACCACCAAAAATATCAAACATGAAATCTACAGGTATAAATATACAACTACAGCTATAAAATATATATGCAAGAATCATATGCTGAAAACTGGAAACACTGATGAAACAAATCAAAGTAGACCTAAATAAATGGGAAGATATACCATGTTCATGAATTGGAAGATTTAATGTTGTTAAGGTATGAATTCTCCCCAAACTGATATACCAATTCAAAGAAACTTTAATAAAATCCCAGCAAAATTTCTTTTGTAGAAATCAATAAGCTGATTCTACAAGTTGTATAAAAAAGTCAAGAAAATAAAATAGTCCAAACAATTTTGAAAAGTTAGAAGAAAGTTAAAGGACTTCTACTACACCTGACTTCAACACTTACTATAAAGCTACAGTAATCAAGACACTGGAGTACCAGAAAAAGGTTGGACATATATATCAATGGAACAGAAGAGTGTACAATAATAGACTAACATATACAGTTAATTTTGCTATAATGCTTCTTTTGAAAATGCAAATTTGTTCTAATGTAACTGATATCTTAGCAAACAATCTAAGTATAACATGAATTTCACACTGGCTTATGGGTGATTTTGTCTGCAGGAAACATCATATGAGCACAGAAAACTGAACCAGCTGAGCTTAGGAAAGTAGAAATACATAAAATACACATATGCACACACCTCAAACATCTACCAGCTACTTCACTGTATTTGTTATGAGCCACTCCTGTCCACCTCTAGTGTTAAAATTTTCCTTCCAGTTCCAGATAATCTAACTTCCACTACATCATTATAATTTACAAACTGTAACTTTTCTGACACCCACTTCCACAAACAAACTTCAGGTCTTTTTCAAGGTAAGGAACTGTATTTATTGCAGTCTTTATATATTTCTTAATCATTTAGAACATATAAAACAATGCTACGCTTTTTACTTTCTTCTCTTTTGAGTATCACTGATTAAACATTTTAAAGTTATGCCCCTTGCCCCATTTTCCCCGTAAGTTCTGTGGTTTATACACTATGGATTTATGCATACTGCAGTGATTTAGATCACATACATCACATTATAACTGGCTCTACAATGTCACTTAATTTATCATAAAGGTGCAAAAACAATTCTATGGAGAAAAAGCAGTCTTTTCAACAAATGGTACCAGAACAAGTAGGATAGAGATATAGAAAAGTTCATCCTCATACCATAAATAATTAACTCAAAATGGATCGTAAACCATGTAAAATCTAATATAAAATTTACAAAAAAAATAGAAAATCTTTGTGATCTTGGGTTATACATGAAAAGTATAATCCATAAAAGAAAAATAATGACAAACTAGACATCATCGAAATAAACAAAACTGTTCTTCAGAAAATGGTATTAAGAAAATGAAAAAGAAGCTACAGGAGGAGAGGATGGAGCAAGATGGCAAAATAGAAGCCTATACCATTTGTAGCTTCTGCAGGAACACCAAAGTTCAACAACTCTCTGCACACAGAAAAGCACCATCACAAGAATCAAAAATCAGGTGAGTGATCACAGTACTTAGTTTTAACTTCATATTGCTGAAAGAGGCATTGGAGAGGGTAGAAGAGACAGTCATGAATCACTGATGACACCCCCTCCCCATGCCCCAGCAGCAGTCATGCAATGAGGAGAGTCTTTGCAGATAGAGGAGGGAAAACTCAGCAACTGGGGGGCTTTACATTGAATTCAGTGCTGCCCTGTTACAGCAGAGAGCAAAGTCATGCTCGCCTCAGCCAGCACCCACATATGGAGGAAGGTTTTGTTATTTTTTATTTTTTAAGTTTTTTTTTTTTTTTTTTTTTTTTTTTTTTGAAACAAAGTCTTGCTCACTGCAACCTCTGCCTCTCGGGTTCAAGTGATTCTCCTGCCTCAGCCTCCTGAGTAGCTAGGATTACAGGCATCTGCCACCATGGGTGGCTAATTTATTTCATGCTTTTAGTAGAGGCAGGGTTTCACTATGTTGGTCAGGCTGGTCTCGAACTCCTGACCTCAGATGATCATTCACCTCAGCCTCCCAAAGTGCTGGGTTTATAGGCATGAGCCACTGCACCTGGCCGGAGGAAGTTTTTGGACAAGAACTAGACAGAAGGGAATTGCCCATCCCAGTGGTCTAAATTTGAACTCCTCAGCAAGCCTCAGCATCTTGGGCCAAAGTGCTCTGGGGTCCTAGGTAAACTTAAAAGGCAGTCTAAGATGCAAACTCTGCAATTCCTAGGCAACTACTAGTGTTGAACTGGAATTAGAGCCAGTGGACTAGGGTGGCATGTGACCTAGGTAGATACCAGTCAGGGTGGCTAAGGGAGTACTTGTGCCACCATTCCCCCAAACCCAGACAGCACAGCAACAAAAGTGACTCCTTCCTTCCGCTTAAGGAGGAAGGGGCAAAAAGTAAAGAGGACTTTGTCTTGCATCTTGGCTATCAGCTCAGCCATAGTAGGACAGGACACTGTGCAGAGTTGTGAGGTTCCCATTCCAGGCCCTAGCTCATGGATGATATTTCTAGACACACCTTGGGCCAAAAGGAAACCCACTGTCTTGAAAAGAAGAACCCAGTCCTGGCAGGATTAATTGCCTGCTGATTAAAGAGCTCTTGCACCACGAACAACCACCAGCAGCAATATACACAGGTAGTACACCATGGACCTTGGGCTCTGAGACATGCTGGCTTCAGGTGTGACCCAAAAATTGAGAACTGTGGTAGCTACAGAAAAAAAAATCCTTCTGTTTGAGAAAAGCAGACAGAAAGGTAATGCACCTTAGGCACCAGCTTGGCCACAGTGGGGTAGGCCAATAAGCAGGCTCTTGAGATCTCTGAGTCTAAGCCTAGGCTCTTGGATATCATTTCTAGATCTGCCCTGGGGCATACGGGAGCCCAGTGCTCTGAAGAGTGAATTCCCAGCCTGGCAGCATTCACCAGTTGTTGACTGAAGAACCACTGGGCTTTAAGTGAACGTTGCCAGTGGCCTGGCAGAACCCCTGCTATGGGCTGCTGGTGCTGATGGCTACAGGGAGAGGTTCCTCTGCCTGTGGAAAGGGGAGGGAAGTGCAACAAAGATTCTGGATTATGGTCTGAGTGCCACCTTAGTTGCAGTAGAATAGAACTTCAGGTAAATTTCTAAGGTATGTGACTCTAATCCTTGGCTCCCAGACAGCATGTCTGGTCCTACCTGGGGCCAGGGGGAACTCACTGCCCTGAAAGGAAAGACACAAACCTGTTTGGCTTTAACATCTGCTGATTGTAGAGCACTATGGTCTTGAGTGAAAATAGGTTTTACCCAGGTAATAGTTATAGTGAGCCAAGGGCGAGACCCAGTGTTGTGCTGGCTTGCAGTTTGATTTAATACAGTCTGAGTGGTGGCAGCCATAGGAATGATTGCATAACCACATCCCCATTCCAGGTGGCTCAGCACAGAGATAGACTCCATTTGTTTGGGAGAAAATAAGGGAAAAGAATGAGGTTCTCCAACTGGTAATACAGAGAATTCTTCCAGAATTTATCCAAGGCCACCAATGGGTTACCTCTAGGAGCCTATAAAACTATAGCATTATTGGGCTTGGGGTTCAACTCCCAGCGAATACCTGTAAAGTCTTACCAAGAAGGACAGGTACAAATAAGCCTGGAGTGCGAAAACCAAATTAAAAATCTAACTCATCGATGCCCATACACTCCCAAGCATCTACAAGCAGCAAGACTATCCAGAAAAACATGACCTCACCAAATGAACTAAATAAGGAACCAGGAACCAATTCTGGAGAAACAGAGATAGATATGCAGGCTTTCAGACAGATAATTCAAAATAAGTCTGTTGAGGAAACTCAACAAAACTAAAGATAACAAAGAGAAGGAATTTACAATTCTATCAGATAACTTTAATAAAGAGATTAAAATAATTAAAAAGAATCAAGTGGAAATTCTAGAGCTGAAAAATGCAACTTGACATACTGAAGAATGCACGACAGTCTCTTAATAGAAGAACTGATCAAGAAGTGAAAATAATTTGTGAGCTTCAAGACAGGCTATTTGAAAATACACAGAGGAGACAAAATTTTAAAAAAAGGAGAAGAATAAAGCATGCCTACAAGATCTAGAAAATAGCCTAAGAGGGGCAAGTCTAAGAGCTACTGGACTTGAATAGAAAGTAGAGAGAAAATGAGGGGTAAGAAGTGTATTCAAAGGGATACTATCAGATAACTCCCGAAACCTAGAGAAAGAAATAAACATACAAGTACAAGAAAGTTATAGAACACCCAACAGATTTAAACTAAAGAAGACCACTTCAAGGCATTTAATAATCAAACTCTAAAAGTTCAATGATAAAGTATCCTAAAAACAGCAAGAGAAAATAAACAAATCACATAATGCAGCCCCAATACACCTGGCAGCATACTTTTCAGTGAAAACATTATAGGTTAGGATAGAGGGGCATGACATATTTAAAGCACTGAAAAAAAATTAGTCTACACTA